TATCTATCTATCTATCTATCTATCTATCTATCTATCTATCTATCTATCTATCTATCTATCATCCATTTATCTATCATTTATCTATCATTTATGTGTCTGTCTGTCTGTCTATCTCTCTCTATTTCTCTAGCTATCTATTAATCTATGTCTCTCTCTACCTAGCTACCTATTTATCTCTCTGTCTATATCTCTCTATTTCTCTAGTTATCTATTTATGTGTTTCTGTCTATCTATCTATCTATCATCTATCTATCTATCTATCTATCTATCTATCTATCTATCTATCTATCTATCTATCTATCTATCTACTATCATTATCTACATCTACCTACATACCTACCTACTTTCCTATAAATACAAACAACAATTTAATTTGATCTCTTAGTACCTGATAGCTAGTATTAATGAAACTTAGAGAGAGTTAACGGTTCAGAGCCAAGAAGTTGATTAGGGAATTCTGGAACTCCCAGGAATTGGAATTGTACACAGAGTCTAAAACAATTTCATATCATGACAAGCACACTTCACAAAATTGGCATGCCCTTGAAAAGAAGTCAACTCTGAAGCCAATCACCTATAAATAAATCATCCACCTATCACAGATTTCTAAGCATATGGATTTGAATTCAGAAGGATAGAAAGTATTCTAGATATTATTTTGGGCATTCATATGTAAGTCTCCAAAGCTCTTTTCTACCCAGATAGTTCTTACTGAGAATGCAAAATCTACGTTGGTCAGAATTTTATGCAGGTTCAAATAGTTTCTCTTTTTCCTGTTTAATGCTTCAATATATAGTTTGTGAAATGCAATATTGCTAGGGTTGAGAGAAGGACTGACTAGATTGCTTCATATCTTATGCAGGACTAGAATTCACAGTCTATTATGATTATGATTGTGATTGTGATTATGATCATCATCGTCATAATTTCAATTGTTACAATCCCCAAGGGCTTCCAAGTAAAGCTTTTCTGCAAAAGTTTATCTGGTGCAAAATGTTCCATGAGATTATTTCACACCAAGTAATTATGACATTGCTCTTGAGAATGCTACATGTTCTTGAGAATGTTTCCAAGATTTTTCTTTTTGTCCTTCCCTAGAGCAGCGATGTCCAACCATGCCAACTTTAAGGTTTGCAGACTTAAACTCACAGAAATCCACAGCCAACATGGCTTGCTGAGAAATTCTGGGAGTTGAAATTCACAAGTCTTAAAGTTGCCAAGTGTGGAGTCCCCTGTCCTAGAGTAAGACTGGACAATTCATTCTGGATCACCTTTCTGGACTAAGATCAGATCATGATATATCTAAATAAGCTGGAGAACTTTGAGAGGTTATCTGCACATGCTTCATGTACCTTCACCCCCCCCCCCTTCTCTAGGTTCAAGTGCACTCTCCAACCCTTGCAGGGAAATGCTTGTAGGACTCTGATAGAGCTTTTTCTAATGAATGCATTTTATTAGCGAGTTTTTAATGACTTGGAGAAGTGACTCTTACCTTGTCCCGAATCCCTTGCCTCACAACCTCCCGTTCAGCCTCCATCTTGGCATATTTCGCTTTCCTTTCTTCTTCCTGCTGTCGGAGCGCTTCCTGTCGTTCTTCTTCTTTCTTGGCAGCATCAGGATCTTTCTCTTCCTCTCCTCCTAACATCTTCCCCATGTCTTTGGTAGCCCCTAATGGAAAAGCAGAAGGCCAAGATTGTGATGGTAGCTGTGTTGGTTTTTGTATTGTTCTTCGATTTGAACCTTTCATGGAAGGAAGGTAAATTACTGGTTTGGAGTGGCATATAAGCTCCAAAAACCTACATAACTAAAAAGGAGAACCTGCCTCCTATTTTCCATACCAAAAAACAACCTTATGATCTTGACTGGAATGAGAGAAAAGAACTGGCCCAAGGTCACCCAGTTGGCTTCCATGCCAAAGGAAGGGTCAGAACTCAGTCTCCTGGTTTCTATGCCAGCCACTGAATCACTACTTATTAACAAGAATTTTTGACTTACTGAGAGATGCAGTATCACCATAATCCAGAGAAATGTTACCAAATCAAAATCATAACTACTGTGCATTGCTTTTGTTGGTTTGTTTTCACAATTTTGGCACCTACCCTAATCATTTGAGCCTGGTAGTGCACAAATATTATTAAACATGGGATACTATTTCAAAGGCCTGGGATGCTACCAAGAATGAGCACTTCTGATGCCCCATTAGATGACACCATAAAGGACTAAAGCATGCCCACCCTATCTGACCTAGTGTAACTCAGGTGAACTATGAGTAGCATTCAGAACTGCTACTTTCTGGACCAGCTTCAGTTTCCAGATAGTCCTTAAGGAAAGCCCCATATAGTGCACATTGTAATGCAATTTGCTGGTAGTATGGACAGACATCTTAAATCAAACATTTTGATTTCCCCTGGACATCTTTGTTAGATAAATGAAGCCACAGCAGCTTGAATTCTAGTTAGTTTATCCATAGTTAGAACTCCCCTGATTGTAATAAGGTCCTTAGGGAAACTGAATTCTGGCATACTCTATCAAGTGGAAATATACGGTTCTTGCTTCTTAAAGCTGATTTATAGACTATTATTAAGACCCAACATAAGCTGAGTCAGAATACATATGAAAGTTTAGACAAGGCTGAAATTCTGTTTCATTTTTAAATTTGAAAATATCATCTAGTGGAATTAAAGGCAGTGGGATTGTTTGAGTCAGTTCAAGGATCCATCCATGTAATCCAGCATCATATTTTAGACATTAGTTCCACTTACCCTATGGAACTACACAAATAGAGATGATGACAATAATTTTCCATTGTCTGTTTACAGTACCTAACACTTGCAATAAACAAGAAACAAAGAAGCACTGGTTAGTCATGGATACCCATTGTTGAAACACTATTCCCTCCCTCCCTCCTTTCCTTCCTTCCTTCTTTTTCTTTTTCTTTTCTCTCTCTCTCTCTCTCTCTCTCTCTCTCTCTCTCTCTCTCTAAGCTAATGTGCATCACTAAATCTTTTTTATAGATCTCTAAAGTTAATTATTTCTATAAAGCAGGCAGAATTATTTTTATTAAAGAAAATATTCTTGACATTTTGATAATCAAGTCATTACATGACAGCTTTTTTTAAAAAAAGAGGGGAGATTATTATAGTTTTAACAACTTATTTTATTGAACCTTAATTGAAGGTCAATAGAGTTTATTAAAAGAGTGAGTCAATCCAGAGTGGGATGGGGAAGTTTACCACTGTGTTTTCAAGGATGAATAATTATTCCCTCCTTTAAAAATCATATCTCCCCCCTTCCTACTCAATTGTATAGAAAGGTAACTGGGCAGGTAAGGAGTAAGCATTAGGGGAAAACCTGTTAATTTACAAAGACAAGACCAGATCTTCCAAGGATCATGATAAATGGTGCAAGCATAGATGGAGAGAGGTGGTGAATCTTGTTTCCTATTCCTATGTTTTTAGGGATGACTCCCCTCCCCCATCCCTACTGTCAATATTCAGTATTCAGTTTAACAATACTTGTGTCTTCTACCCAGCTTGCTCCCCACCTGTGGAAAGCCCTGCTGCTCCTGAATGTTTTGTTCCAACAGAAGTCCATTTCTCCAAAATGCAGTACTGGGGGAGAGACAGTGCTGGAAATGCTGGCAAATGTGGCCACTGAACAGTTTATTTTGGAATCCAGGGTGTAGAAAATGCTGTCAAATGGAGAAGATATAGACTTGAAACATGATGTCAGCCTCTGTTTCGCTATTCGCTTTTGGCTGCCATTGAAACGGGGAGGGGGGCATGGTATTTGGGAGGGGAATATTTGGTACAGGAACACTTGTTAAGCGGGAGTTTTGTTCTCACCATCTACTGCGCATGCTGATGGCTGGTGTTTAGAGTTGGTCAAGGCCAACCGTCCTGCATACCAACCTGATGATGCTTCTTGGAGATGCAATCCACATGACACCTGAGGGATTTGCATATTGGACAATGGGATGGGGGTTGCAGGGGGGAGATGGTTGGGCAAATATTGATATGTATGATTTTGTGTGCTTCTGCCTCAGACCTTGCTTTATTTTGCTGCTATCTTTTCATAACCAGTAAATTCCTAATTCTGCAAAATGGAGTTAAGTGGTTTCTTTTTTGGTTGCTGAAGGAGGCCGGCTTGACACATATGCTTTAATGAACTGGGTCACCATTCTTTCCTCTGTCTCATCCAAAGCAACAGTTCAGCCTTGTAGAACACCAGGATAATGTCTAGGTAGCAAATTTCAACAATTTGCTATGGACAAGGTTATCTCTGTCCATCACTGACCATCTTTCATTTGTGACCATATTTATTCCATTGGAGACGTCAAGTAATTTTTTCACTCAATTCAAGCAATATAAATTGAGCAGAATCTTTTAAGAAAGCATCCATAGTTAGAAATATAATTTGCATAGTAGATCAAGAGGACACCATTTTGCTTTATGAAATGGAATAATATTCCCACAATCATTTAATTATTTGAGAGCTACGGTATTCTGTTTAAGATCTCTGATAGCCAGGTATTATCGAGATATGTGGGGATTGCTTACAGAATACACAGCCATTAGCTGTGACATCTGGAGATTACGCAAATTGTAATATTAGTACATCAAAGATGCTAAGTTGGAAAAACCTGCCAGGTACATATTTGAGTTACATATTTTTAAAATATATGTGGATTTTTTATTGAGAAATTTTCCATGGATAAAAGACAAAGATAAAGGAAAAGGGAAGGGAAGAGAGAGAATACAAAATGAAAGTACAAAAAAGGAAAGATGGAAAGAAAATAAAAGAACAAGAATCAGAAACTGTTGTGTTCTGGATATCTGGCTTTGAGTCCAACTGTGAAACAAGCATTTGTTCCCATCTTCCCATTCTTTCCATTTATTCATGTTGGCATTGTTATTTTTTTTACTTGTTTTACTCTAACTAAACAATGACTTTGCTATGATTTCACAGAGATCAAAACATGTCACAGCAGGTGTGTAGTTTAATTGATAGAAACAACTTTTATTGTAGCACATGCAATCTGTTTTTCAAATTGTTTTATTCTACTTTCAGAAATGTATTTTCTCTCTGATTTCAGATACTTCTTTTCCTCCATAATATGTTTCAGGGGGATTTGTCTCTTTCTTTAAAACACATTTTGTTTATTTTATTACAAATTTGAAGAAAAAAAAATGTAAAAAAAAAAAATACCCTAAAGACTGACTGACTGACTGATTGACTGTCTGTCTGTCTGTCTGTCTGTCCGTCTATCTGCTATCTGCTATCAACAAGCAAGCTATAAACAAAACATGATTAATAACAAATAAAATAGAAAAGGGGAAAATATAAACAATCTAATAATAGCAGCTATATATTATATCTTAAAGAATAAATTAACCTTTCAAATTTAAAAAATCTCCACTGTAAAACATTATTAAATCTGTGCCGACTAGAAATATACAGTGTAATTTTTTTTTTATTAGGAGAAAAAAATGATCTTTTCAAAAAGTAGAATAAATGGTCAGAAATCCCACCCCCCAACTCACAAAAATTATTTATAAGTATCTTGGTCTGTTTTGGCAAAAATCTATATTAATATTCTGTAAGAAAAATTACACTATGGAATGCCAAATATTTATTCAAGTAATATAAAAATGCTTTCAAATGCCATTATGTGTTTGAAAAACTAACATTATATTTTCACGAGGTACTACGCAGACTGGTTAAAATATTGGTCTAAGAACAGAGTGGATCTAAGTCCACTGGGGGATTTGGGGCCAATAGCTCTCCTTTAGTTCAACCTAACTTAGAAGGAAATATTAGGGGATGGAGGGAGGAGAGAGACTGTTGCACATTACTGAGTTCTTGGTGGAAAATAAATATACATTTAACAAACAAAAACATTAGATGGATTGTGGGATCTTTGGTGCTCTCTGAGTTGGTAGTACATTTAATTACCAAACTAGGTAACATTATCAGTGCTAGAAGAGAATAGTGTTTGCTCTTATTTTTATATACTAGTGGCTCACCCTGTCAGGGTTTGTGTTCAGAGAGTATCAACGACCCCACAAATCAACCTTTGAGCTACAAATATTATCTGCTATCAGTATTTGATGAAAATTCAACAAGTGTGTAAATTTGGCCCAATATTTACTATTTTATTTTAGCTCCAGGGGAATGAGCATGCAAGCTCATTATGAGGCTCAACATGGTTCTACATGTCCTTCCTCTTTTAATTGCCCTCCCTTCCCTCCACTCTCCTAGAAAGTTTTATAAACTCCCTAGATGAATCTTCTGATGTGCCAACCAGAACATTAAGGTTTTATCAATCACAGGAGAGGCCTTTATTTTGATAAAGTTTGAATGAAGCATCCCTTCAAAACTGTTTCAAAACATAAAGTCCTCGTTTCCAAAAATATGAGAAGAGACCCAGTTGCTTAGCTTCACTCTATTTTACAGACCTTCCACAATTTCTAGGGATGCCTAATCTATCCTGGAAGTGGTTTCTGTAGAATTCTATCCAAATCACTCTAAAAAAGAAAATTTAGCTCCCCCATTCCCTACCCCTAAAGTGAAGAACATATCAAAAATATTAGACCAAGCCTTTCTGGTGATCTTTTTATCTCCCCTCTATTGACCTTTGAAAAATGAACTTTCCTTTTGGAGGAAAA